TCTTAACAGGAACCAGATTACACTTGCCGGTAGGGGACTAGTATTGCTAATGCAATACTCTCAGAATGCTTGTTCCTATAGGAAGTAATGGGATATTGCCAGTGTAGGGTATAAGAGTGATCATTGAAAAAAAATCTGCAATAGAATTTTTATTCATATTAAAGGACAATGTTTACTAGACAATTTACCAGCAAATTATGTCAAAAAATAAATAGGTCATCGGCTTAGATATTTCAGAGGGGCATGTCAAACGCAGGTGTAGGGCACATTTTGAAGGAAATTTGAATTGAGAGGAAACGTTTGAATATCTTTAAAAGAATTAAAAATGTATATTTTTTATCTTTTGCAATACATAATTAAGTCAATTTGATTCAAGGCATATGCGCGGTTTTCTGTGCAGTGTCTCGAAATTTCGAATTAGGTCCATCGTCCTTAAATCATGAAAGTAATATCTGCTTATATGAGTAATATAAATGATTATCCGCTTAAAGGTACATTTTTTTCAAAGTATTTCAGTAATATCCTATATAATGATAAAAAATGCAATTGTATAGCTTTATGAGCTAAGGCGATGACATCGAGGAAGAAAAACATCATCCTTATGATATAGTTGTGTTTCAGGGTTATGACACATTCTATAATTAATAATGTCAAAGGTAACGACATTGCATATTTCAAACAATAGAGAACGCTCTATATTTATGAATTCTTTATTAGAAGTATATTTTATTTTCTTATTATATATCTATATATCTTCATATTATTTTATTTTCTTACATCCCTATCTTATCCCTATCTCGTTGCTCCTTTTTAAACATATCTAAATGGTGTAACGATTTTCAATGATTTTAGAGTCACAGTCAACAAGAAATCTTTTTGTTTGTGGTCTATCATTGTTTTGATTTACACTCACTTACACTGGCAAATGAAATTCATCCCGTGAATTTCACTTGAATTATCCCTTTATAATTATCCCTTTATAATTATCCCTTTATGATTATCCCTTTATAATTATCCCTTTATAATTATCCCTTTATAATTATCCCTTTATAAGTACACAGGAGGGTTGTTCTAAAAGTAATATCACGACTGCTATGGAATATTTAATAATCAAAAGTTTTCATGAAAAACAAAACTCATACTATGTACTAATACACTGAACTTCTATCTATTTTGACTTTTGCCCTAAACTTTTACTCAGATATACTAGTATGCAATATTTGAAACATTAGAATAAACACAACGTTGGTCTCGATGTCGCCGCATGTCGGGATCGTTATGATTTTTCTCTTCAACACTCATTTTGAATCTGATGATGCATAAGATTTACATAAAAAGAAATGAATTTAGAAATAACCTAGGGCAAAGTTAAAAAAAATTTTAACACTATAACTCAAAACGAGACGGTTTATGGCAAAATCGGAGTAAAGATTATTAAAAAGAAGCACATAAGAATTTGAAAAGATAAGCGTATGAACTAAAAATTAACGTCATAACTACGTCGATACATTCTTGCTGTTCGGTGATACACTAAACCTAACGTTATTTAAAAAAAATATTTTATATATTCGAATGAAATTTTAAAGCAAAACAGATGGGGTATTAGTATTTCAAATCTTGTTGATAACACTGGATTATTTTAAAACGATTTTATAGCAGCTGTTGCACAACTTTTGGATTAACCTTCATATGCACAATTCAGTATAATTTTTAAACATGAATCTCACAAAAAATTCATTTAAGATGCATTTTACCCATCGAATAGATTAAACCAGGAGCGTACAACTCCTTGGTGACTCACAGATTACAAAGTAGATAATATCAAAAGTAATAACCAATTTCCAATACCGTTCATGCATTAATATTTAATTTTTTAATTAACACTGTTGCTTTTAAGATTTTCTCAAAGTCCAGCTTGAATGTTTGAGACGGTTCACCATTCACCATGCACTAATTTCACTTTGAATATGACTCTTCTGATGGTTTTTTTTTCTAAATTCGTTCGATTTAGTAGATAAAATACCAAAGACTTGGTTGGAGTTTGGTGTAAAATTATCAAACCATGATACATTATAACTAGTTTCATAACATCCAAGACGATATTAGCTGTATGAGATACATGTATTATAAAGAAATATGCAATGTATAAAATATTCTACGGGTACGTCGTCCTCCATAAACTATGCAAACAGAGAATCATTGAATTAGCATAAAGAAATGAAAAGTGATTTTTCGAGGTCAGCGATGCATATTTGAGAAGTATCGACCTGTTATTTGCATGGTAAACATGTCGGTGAAAAGTACTGTTAGGAGATATCTCCGGTAATATAATATATTTCTGAAATCAATTTTATTATTTCATTACATAAAGTCAATTTTTAACCCCCAATCACCCCTAGAGTGAAATAAAAAATTCCAAAACCTAATTGCACATCATCAGAACACACCCAGACTTCTTCTTTAAAAAAAAAATGATTGGGCAACTTTGAAAAATTAAGAGATGTCGTTTTTGACCCCCCCCCCCCCATCGCCCAAGGATGATAATCAAAATTCCGAAACCCTAGTGCACATCTACAGGACATGCCCGATCACATTCCAAAATATGACTGGCTACTGCAAAAAATATAAGAGAACCAGAGTTTTGTAGAAAAACGACGTTTTTGACCCCCAATCGCCCCTAGAGTGATAAAACCAAAATTCCGAAACTTTATTGAACATCTAAGAAACACCACTTATTATATTTCAAAAGATGAGCTGGTTACTGCAAAAATTTTAAGAGGAGTTCACGGAGATTTGTGCAGGAAAAACGTCGTTTTTTGACCCCCAATCGCTCAAGGGTGAAAATCGAAATTCCGAAACCTTATTTCACTTGTACAGGACACTCCCAATCACACACCGAAATATGAAATGACTACTGAGATAAATGTAAAGAGAAGTTCAAAGAAAGAGGTATTTGCAGAAAAACACTACTTTTTTTACCCCCATATGTCCCTCGGGGTTACAATAAATTTTCAAAATCTTTTTTGTACATGTTCAAGGCACCGCTAATCATATTCCGAAGATGAATTGGCTACTCCTTAAAATAAAAGAGGAGTTTGGAGAAGTGTGACAAACGGACGGACCAATGTAATAACAATATATCCGAACTTTTTTAGGACAAAAGCGGTTATCTTAATTTTTTATCACATTTGTCTAGTAACATTTCAATAATCTGTGCATATTCTAAGATTTTTTACCTTGTATTTTAATATCAGATTAATCAATACTATTTTATAGCTTTTTTATCACACATATGATAATTGTTTTCGACAACATTTGCGCGAGTCATCTTTTCCAGTCTGTTTTCATAATCTCCATAAAGATAATCTCAAAAAAGATACGTAGCAGGTTCCAATTAATATTCTACAAAGCCTCTTTCTATACTCCTCACTTAAATATTCACAGCAGTGAAGGTGAATTTTCAAAAGTACTCTACTACAACATATTCGAAACGTGGTGTAAATCAGATGTTGTCATTAAAAGAACTCTAAGGAACTGTTAGAGAATTTGAAATCACAAATTTTACCAAAACAAAAACATAAACACGGACGACTATTTAACACTGCTTTTTCAATAAACTTATTAATTTACTTACCTTCTCATTGATCATTTGCTAAATTATTTTAATAAAAAACATTCTGATTGTACACGCAAGTACGCTGAAGTTGACATAAAAATGCTCGTGTTTTTGATTGACAATATCTTTGTAGTTTTGGATTGGTACTCACTGCGCCCAGTTATTAGCAGACCTATTTTTGTATTCATATGAAGAATTTATTCAAAAACTTATATATGAGAAGAAGAAAACACCTGCTGTGGCCTTCAACTCGACATTTAGATATATCAATGACGTATAATCAATTAACATTAGTTTCTTCCATTCATCTGTCGACTCGATATATCCTTGTTTATTTGAAATAAAAAATACCACTGATCATGACATTTCTGTTTCATTTTAGGATATTTTACTAGAAAAAGACGTTAATGGTAACCTAACAACAAAACTATCGTCAACCTACCTTATTTATGTAGCAATATAACTTATCACCTGCATATGGAGTTTATGTTTCCCATTTGATTCGATACGCAGGAGCATACTCTACGTAAGAACCTTTTCTAAAACGAGGCGAACTATTGACAAACAAGTTGATGAATCAAGGATATTAAAAGTCTCGTTTACAATCAACATTTGGCAAGTTCTTTGGTAGAAAAAATTGTTAGGCCATTATTTTCATACTAAAATGTGTATTTTTTCCATTTCCCCAGTCACACCATGGAGCACACGACAGGGCTTGTTTGACCGGTGGACAGGGATGTTTACTCCTCCATGACACCTGATCCAACCTCAGTTTTTAGAGGTCCGTGTTTGCTCTGCTCCAGATTTGGATCGTGTCAATGGACTTTTGAACTTGATTACTGTTTGTTATTTCTATATTTTACATAACGCATATCCCTAACAAAAAAGTACTATAGTTTACTATAGTTAACTATTGTATCAAAGTTTTTTCACTATAGTAAATCGCAGTATATTTACTATGGATTTCAGATCGTTATATTTTTTGTTCTTCAATTCATACATGCACATTTTTTATATTACATTGAAATATTATTTGTATTTTCACACATTATTTCCAAATTTTACATTACTGTTATCGAATTTTAGAGATTTTAAGCTTTGAAATCTCAAAAACAGTTCCAGAGTAAAGTTTCATAGTAAATCAAGTATCAAAGTTTTCACTATAGTTAACTATAGTAAACTATAGTTTACTATAGTAAATTTTTGTTAGGGATGTATCTATGGGTCCGAAAACAATATAAAATGTAAAATATAAAATAAAAATGAGGATATACTGAAAAGGGGAGGGTAGAAATTGCAAACATCTTCATATGACTAAAATCCTTGTTGCTATCCAATTACTAATTTTAATTTTTAAATTATTATAGTCTTAATATTTCCTTACCATTGATAAGAGGAAAGTTGTTCAAAAAACCGAGAATAAGAAAAGGGAACACAATCTTGAATACCTCCATCTCCAGGCTGTATCTGCACACTAAGTTGTATTTAGCGTTGATATATTACGCAGTAACCTGCAATGCAATGTACGTGTACCTTCTCATTGATTAGTATTTTCCTGGTGTGACAGACTGCGACCCGAGAAAAATAAACCAATCCCTGCTTATTATCTGTGGGAAAACCCCAAATCAAGGAAGAAGTGGAAAAGGCAATTAACAACGATACTTCTAAAAAAAATAAATAAACAAATAAAACTTTCTTGTTTTTAAGATGCGGAAGATTAGGATTTTATTTCTTAATCGTAATTTTTGTCTTTCTTTGATTCATGAAACAAATATTGCAACCGTAAAGGATTCTTTTACTAAAATAAATATATTTGCACACTGTAATCTCATAAGCAGTCAATTTCCACAAATTATCTCATAAAATAATTTTAAAGATATCAAGTTGTTCTATTTTTCCTTATAAATGCATGTTTATTGAATAAGGTAATACTGTAACATTATGTTTATAGTGTACAGCGTCTAGCTTCTTGGCTATGCCAGGGCATTTTCAACAGTTGGAAATGTTGGTAATTTGCATAGCGGAACAAGCCCGTTATGCATAAAACAATATTATCACAGATAATTCAATTTATGCCGCTATGAGAAATCTGGTAAACTTTACACCGTCGGATAGTTACGGATTTTTAAACCAATCAAATTCTTTGTTTTTGTTGCGCCATTTCTGCAAAGCCTGTTTAGTGCAGTGAAAAATATAAACACATTGTCGTGGTGAACTAGCTAGACTCCTTGAAATAACATCGTTTTTGTGTTCTAGCAGTTCCATTCACCAGCCTACTTCACAAAAGTAGCGATATTCAAGGCAAGTAAGCTTTTAACAGTGTTTTACATCCACGTGCTGGGTAAACCGCGTGCCCGTATACTTATAACACGGCAGGGGCGGATCCCAATTCTATGAAAATACAGATATGTCTCCTTGGTCATTCCTACATTCTTAGACTTTGCATGAATCATCTCTCGTTTCCGACTGTCATTAATGTCCCTGGCATACCCAACGATTAGAAGGCAATTCCTTTTAGGGGTGAATTCACCATGCATCGGACACCCTCGCACTTCAACAAGTTCTAATGATATCGTTACCTACCGAATATTATCAAAATGGAACTTTACATGTAGTATGTGGATATAATACAAATTTTTGACATTTTTCGAAATAAGTCAGAATTCACCAGGGATCGGACAATATTCACCATGCATCGGACATACGGTATTTAAACCAGAAAAATATCATACAGTACCTTGATCTCAGTGCTTTAAAATCAGTGATATCGCAACATTTTTATCTTTTATTTAAAAAATAACCTTCTAGTTAAATTTCGATCCACAAATGTGAAGAGATTTTAGTTGCATCACATCGCCTTAAAAAGGCTTTGAAATGCTAGTAATATGGCAACTCACGCCTTTGTCTCGTGGGTTATCATCGTCTATTTTAAAGATATAAATTGAGTCCACTTCTAGTCTTCATGTATCAATAACTTGTATTTTCACTGAACATTTAGAGTTTTATTTTCTATTTCCGTAAAAAAACAGCTGTCATTTGGATTTTATATGAAAATGGAAGTGATTACCCTTGCATCGGAAAGTGTCAGATACATGGTTAATTCGTGTCCGATGTACGGTTAAATAAACATACTAGTATAAAACAACTCTAAAAAAAATAATATGTTGACGGTGCTACCGTTGGGGCGAGCGCATTGTTCACTTGATTTTAAGATCTGCCTCTTCAAACCGCACGAAACATTTGGAACGTCTAGACTGTGACGTCACATGACATTGTATGTTAGCTGCATTTCCATAAACGAAGTTTGAAAAGTGCAAAAATTTTAACAAAAAACGTTTCATTTACTATCTATATGCAATATTCATTAAATTAAGGTGAATTTTTTTGTGAATTTTTAGGTGTTGTTACCGGGGGAACGAAGTTAGCAGCGAGAACAGCAAGCGATGCATTGTGGGTCCAGAATTACTACGGAAAAAATTCTATGGAAGGAATGTGCAGTAGTCAGAATTTTCTCTTCGTCCAAGCGTTGTCGTTAGAGCTCGCAGCGGCGCTTCGCTATTATGCAAAAATTGAAGTAAATTTTTTTAACAAATTTCTTTTAAAGTAAATTTTTCAACAGTTGGTCCTAAGTGCTAAGGTTTTCTTATTTTACTTATGTTTCTTGCGAGGACACCTTTCCTTTGGCACTAACATTTTTGACCTCATGACCTTTAACTTTGACTGTGGCATTCTTTCGAAAAACTTTAATCTTGGTCATATTTTCTGAAGGGTGTTAGGGCTATCATATTACACGTATTTATTCCTTGTGACAACACTTTTCTTTGGGTATCAACAATTTTGACATCTTGACCTTGAATTTGAAAATTTTGACATTGGGTTAAGTTTCACAAATATATCTTGCTATTTTTGTTTTCCACAGATTCAAAAAAACACAGTCAAAATCACTTCCGAAGATGCTTGCTTGCCAATGGGAAAATTCTTAAGTTCAAGGAGGATTCATGAATACGTTTATGATCCTTTTAGTGATCCAGCGATGCCCTACACATCAGAGTCCTGTTCATCAGAGCGAACGTTCGCGAGCGCTCACCAAAATTCCTTATACATCCAACAGAAATGTCGGCGAGTGCAAGCGCTGCTGAACACGCCTCAAGATCCACCTGCGGCACACCTCGTCTGAGTTAGACAGGATAAGTTTTCTTGCGGTCCACTAATGTTTTAATCAGTTTACAATTGTATGACAAAGATTATAAAGTACTTAATCAAAACAAGCATTCTGAAAGTATTTCATTAGCAATACTAGTCCCCTACCGGCAAGTGTAATCTGGTTCCCGTTAAGAATTGAAAATGCCATAATTCCGTCAAAAATCAATGAAGCGGGGCGAAATGCAAACTTGATCTATAACTATAATCAAGGTAAAGTCACATACCAAAAATCAGCTCAATATCTGAAAGCGTTTAGAAGGAAATTGCGGAAAACCCCTAAAAATTGAGAAGGCCGTAATTCCGTCAAAACTCAATGAAACGGAACGAAATGCAAACTTGATCTGTAACTCATCAAAATACACTCACATACCAAAAATCAGCTCAATATCTGCAAGCGTTTAGGAAAAAAGTGCGGAAAACCAAGTGGGACAGAGTGACAGACAGACAGAGGGACAGACAGACAGATGGACAGACAGACAGATGGACGGACACACTCAGAGGAAACCTATAGTCTCCTCCGGTTTTACAGGTAGGGGACTAATTACACCATCAAGAATGCCAGTTATAGCAGTTGTCTCTAAAAAAAGAATTATAGTTTAATTATTATATGATTCTACGAAATATATGTATGCCGAGATTTTAATATTACAGGTTGAGTTGTTTTTTTAGTCCCCTACCGGTGAAACCGGAGGGGACTATAGGTTTCCTCTGAGTCTGTCCGTCCGTCTGTCTGTCTGTCTGTCTGTCTGTCCCTCTGTCTATCTGTCTGTCTATCCCACTTGGTTTTCCACACTTTTTTCCTAAACGCTTGCAGATATTGAGCTGATTTTTGGCGTGTGAGTGTATCTTGATGAGTTACAGATCAAGTTTGCATTTCGTTCCGCTTCATTGATTTTTGACGGAATTACGGCCTTTTCAATTTTTCAGGGTTTTCCGCAGTTTTCTTCTAAACGCTTTAAGATATCGAGCTGATTTTTGGTATGTGACTTTACCTTCCTTAGTTATAGATCAAGTTTGCATTTCGTTCCGCATCATTGATTTTCGACGGAGATATGACATTTTCTATTCTTAAGGGGAACCAGATTACACTTACCGGTAGGGGACTAGTATTGCTGATGCAATACTCTCAGAATGCTTGTTTTAAATGGAGAATATAAAATGTTTTGTAGTACCCATTAGGTATCACGTGTTTGGGGCATGAAAGGCTCTTTGAAGTACTTCCTTGTCCTTTCAGCCCATATATGCTGTTGTGATTGTTTGAATGTTTCGCTTTGCTATATTTAAATGGATTTGCATGTTGAAAGGGATTTTATTATTTAAGTCAATTAAGAGCTGCAACCACACCCCTTTCTCTCTCTCTCTCTCTCTCTCGACAATTATGACGAAACTGCTTTCCAATCTTTACTCATATCAGGGACCTATAACTAACGGGATAGGCAACTCTCGCAAGTCTCGCGATATCTCGTAAGTTGTGGGATTTCGTAAGTCAATTTTGATTAAATATATCTCTTTTGCTATCAAATATTTCAAAATAAAATCTTAAATTATCTATCAAAAAATTATTCAAGATTTGTTATTAGCACTGTTTTTACTCCTTATCTTAGTAGTAATTACGTTTATTTAAAAATCAGTGCGTGCCCCTGATCGGCTGTATTTCCGAGAAATCGCCGATTTTGGTGGTTGTTTACTTAAGATCTAAATCATTTTATAATATGTGCTTTAAAATTTATTAAATATCCGTTCCGATACACAAAAAGAACAGATTACATTAATCAGAAAACAAGCTTTTAACTGGGAAAAAAATGTAGTTTGAAAAACTTGCAGTGTTGTGTGTGCCGTTTTGGGTAAATAAACATGGCGCTGAAGGAGTTGCCTATCCCGTTAGTATATAGGTCCCTGCTCATATCTCTATTTATTTATTGATATGTTTTGAATTTTAAGGTTATATAATTTGATGTAATTTAGGATAAGAGATTATTAGTCCCCTACCGGTGAAACCGGAGGGGACTACAGGTTTCCTCTGAGTCTGTCCATCCGTCTGTCTAGCTGTCCCTCTGTCTGTCTGTCAGTCTGTCTCACTTGGTTTTCCGCACTTTTTTTCCTAAACCCCTGCATATATTGAGCTGATTTTTTATGTGTGAGTGTATCTTGATGAGTTACAGATCAAGTTTGCATTTCGTTCCGTTTCAAGGATTTTTGACGGAATTACGATTACGGCCTTTTCAATTTTTAGGGGTTTTCCGTAATTTTCTTCTAAACGCTTTCAGATATTGAGCTGATTT